GGGGAGCTGATCCAGCCGTTTCCCCGGAGTTCATTTTCATGGAGACTAGGAAGCAGGTTGCTGCAGAAGAGGGTCCACAGCAAGCGATGAAGTGTGTTTTTGCTGAAGTGGGCAGATATGTTAATCAACCTTATACAATCCAAAATAAAAAGATGCAATGGGAAAAATGAAGTAGAGCATTGTAGTCGGGGTAACATGTCATTACAGCTCGACTACTTTTTCTGCTAAACCTATTTATTTTCTTTAGAATATTGAAAGATGATACAACAGTTCAGTCAGTATTTGAGATGAAAACCAGAATGAAGGCTAGCTCAGCCATCCAGCATCTCTGCACCTAGGCTTATATACAGAATTTTTTCCCAAGGTTCCATGTCTCAGTTCACAGGCCTGCCAGTGAGCAGTTATCCAGGATTCTGACAGCTCCTCTCCATACCCAGTGTATTGTTCCATGGCTTCCACACCATCTCTGCACTCACACCGATCCATTCACATTTTTGCCCGAGCACTTCATTAAGGTGCTCTTTATCAGGCTTCATAATCAAGGGATATAAGGCAAATCAGACCACCAGTTTTTGGAGGCCTGCAGTGAGATGTTAGAGGCTTCCAGAAAGTTTAGTGCTGTGAGAATTTACATCCAGAATACGGCTCTCACTGGCTTCACTGACAGCTACTGAAGGCTAAGCATGTCCACAGGCTGTCTGAGGCTGGGCACAGCAAGGGGAAGGGAAAACATGCCCAGAGGCCATCTGTAGAGGTTTTGTTTTACATGACTGGCCTTTACTATATACAAACAGCTCTGTAGTGGCAGGTATAGAACCTAATTGCCAGGAATAATTAAAGTGCCATTCAGTTTCCTCAGCCATCATTTCTCTCCTCACAGCTCCCTGTTCTCTCTGTACCACAAAGCAGAAAGGAGATCCATTCTGCATCCGTCACTGAGGGCTTTCTGCATGGAGTTTCTGTGGAAATAATTGTACTGGGCGTGTAATTAAAGACACTGCTGTAACATACATGAACAACTGGTTCAAATTAAGTTTTCCAAATCAGCTTTAGTGTTGGTCTGTCTCAATACTAAAAATAAAACACTTATATGTTAATGTTCCACTAGCAAAGTATGTTTAGGGGATTTTATTGTATGAAGTTCTGTAAAAATTTCCTTAGGTTGTTCTAAGACAACAAACTGAAAAACAGCCCCCTACATCTTTTGGAGGGGGCATACTGGCTCCCACCTGCATGGATCATCAGTTAGGTCCATGAAGGGAACATAAGAGAGCCTTACCCCTCGAGGTGACTTTCAGTAGGAGCTGTTGTCCATGGGAACTTGGAGCAGATGATAGCCTTTGTGTCAGGTGTCCTCTGAGTGACAGCAAAGGAAGTGGAAGTCTGAGAGCATCTGGTAGCCTGAGGGTTAAAAAATCCTATACTGCTATCAGTTGCTCCTCTTCCTCTCTTTTCTTTGCCTTCTCTTCCTGAAATACACCTCAACTCCTGCTTCTCCCCTGCATAACCACTCCTTCCCAACCTCTGTCCTTCTGAGCTCCTGCCCTGCTGTCACTGCTCCTGCTCACTTGCAGGACCTGTTCTCCACCTGCACAGAAATTGTGTGTCCTCACCCTTCTCAGCACCAGCTGAGGGCAGCCCAGGGTGGACATCAGTCCTGAGGGCTTGCAGGCACTGGGCAAAGCTCACTTCTCTTTGGTGAGTGTAGTTGTAGGTGTTGGTACTGGTTAAGCCACCAGTCTCTATCAGCACACATGAGCTGATGTGTTTAGAGGCTCATTGCTTAGCCAGATGTCTGTAGGCTGCTGTGGGAAGAGATGTTCCCTCAAAGCACCTGTAAAGCTCTAAGGCTTCTCAATGAGAAGTGGCAAACATTTCTGTAGAGTGGATAAAGCAAAATGTCTCTCCCTAACCACATTCTTGAGTCTTGCTGAGCCGTCTCAGGTGAAATTTCCACTCACAGAAAAGCAGCGTTAGGCAGGCACCAGCCTCTGATGGGAGACGAGTGCAAATTTGCCCAAGTCCTTTTCCAGACTTTTACAATGGGAGGAATAAGGAAATCTTATCACAGGCAGGGCTATGGTGTTTTTTTTCCTGCCAGCAGCATGTTTGTCCTATGGTTGTTATTAAGGACCTGGCTTGTGTGGCTGTGGATATATTGTGCTTCATTTCACAGAAAGACTTGGGATTTTCCAGGAAGGGATTGGTTAAAATCCAAATACCTAAATGTTTCAATTCAGTTCACATCTGAACTCTCCATTTACTTTGTAACAGAGACTTCAAATATTATCTGCCCTAAACCCAGATTCCCCAGGCAGCTGTGAGACACCGAAATGTCTGCACTCCTGTGAGACACCGAAATGTCTGCACTCCTTTTCATGGTAGCTGAGCACCCAAACACCTTCACTTTTCTCTGTGGCACTCTGCAGCTCTGGAGGATTATTAACTATTTATCAGCAAATGGTTGGCCTAACCTTTTCCACTCCCTCTTTGCTGGTGAATCCAGCTCAGACTATACTTCTTACAGCTGTAATATTTGAAATGGATTATCAGTTGAAGTGTCTTTCACTTTAAATAGCACTACATTGCTTTTGGGATGATCATATCACATAAAATAGTTTCCCCCTGCTTCTCCCTCTTTTCTGCAAATATCTGCTGGATATGCAGTCAGATGCATTTTTGGCAGCAGATTGTGTGACTTGAAGCTATTCACCAAGAGCCTTAGCCAAGCCCTCAGAAGTCAATACAAAACCTTCCCTTGACTTTAGTGGAATTGTGCTCTCAAAGCACTTACATGCAAGGAATGAGTGAAACCAATATAATTAAACTTAGCAAATGTATCTGGGTCACTCTGGCAGCAAAAGCTGTAATGGGGGGGGGACGTGTTTTTGATCAGTATTTCATATCATTAGTTTTATAGCATGCTGCTTACTTTGGGGCATTTTTTCCAACTAAAATGATTCAAGAGTAAAGGGATTAATTATATCAAGCAATACTATTTTTACATCTTTAGTGTTTGATTTGACTTTCAATTATAATCCCCACTTTTTAAAGGTTTAAAAATTTGTGATAAAACCCCATTGTAGGAATAACTGGCATCAGAGCAAAGGACAAACAACTAATCCCTTAGAAAAAATTGAAATACTTTTTTCTGTAATAGAAAAAAAAACAGGCTTTTTTTTTTTTTAAGGTACACTGCCACCAAAGGCAAATTTAAGTTAAAAATGAAATTCCTAAAACATTTTTTCATAATAGCTAAGAGTGCTACATCTAAGGGATAATTTTGGATTCCTGTCCTGCAGATAAGTGATTGGTATTTCATTTTAAAAAGTGCAGGTTCAGTGAGTTTCATTAAAACCTGGTATAGCTGAATGTGTCTTTATCCCAATTCTGAGGAGTTCTTGCTGCTTGTGGATTAGACTGGACCCAGGCAACAACAATTCTAATTTTTATACCAAACTTCAGTTTGTGGATATAAGATTGTTTAAATTGCCTGCCTTTTTCATTAGGAACATTTGTGAAAAAGTACTTATGAGGCGGCAACCATTAGACAGGGAATGTATGTGAAAAAGAGAAAACATGCGAATTTCCTCCTTCTGAAAAAGCATGTAAGCATATGGTAACCTTCTGTGCCTGAATTCAAAGGGATTTCTCTTGTGCTTAGAGTTAAGCCTCTCTTTAAGCCTTTGTTGTATCGTATTTTGCTTAGTTTCTTGGTGCTTGCTATGGCAAAATAGGCAGGTAGTGAGATTTTCCAAAGTGCCTTAGCATGTGAGAACTAAGCATAGAAAAAATCAGATCCACTGAAGAGAGTACGTATCCTGTGACGTTAGCCATCTGGAAGCTGGATTTCCAGTCTAGCAGCTTAAGCCCTGTCTCTGCTTAGTGCTGAGCAGAGGGAAAGCAGAGGGGGCAATTCATACCTAGGGGTATGGGATGAATCCCACAGCAGTATTGCCTCAGACCACTGAAGTTAGAGGAAACCTAAGTGACTGATCCAGATTAGCTGTCTGATTCCTGAAAAATAAAGATAAATGGGAACAACTTAATTTTACATTTCCTAACTAAACCAAGTGTGTGTGTATTGCAGCTCAGTCTTGCTCTGTCGTTGGTCTTGCTAAATCACATAGCAAGAAAGACTAGAAATCAAATAATACTCTTTGAATTCTCATAACTGCTTGTCTGTTTCTTTTCTTATAATTTTATTTTATAGGAAATACAGTATTATCAAGGGAAATGATCTTTTGATGTTTAGAAATTGTCTTACAAACAGCTTTAGCTTTTATCTTTGCAGCCCACACATAGATGCACCCACAGGCAGCTCTCTTGGATTCTTATTCTGGGAAGCTCTGATATTGGCTCTATAAAATGTATATTTTGGGAAAAGATAATCATTCCCCTTCCTGCTGTCTGTTTACATTTGTGATCTGACTCAGCAATCTGCTTATGTTGAGCAGATCGTATCAATAAATGAGTTACGCTTTTCCAAGCCCTTCTAAAAGTATAAGTAATAATGTTTAGCAATTGCAGGTGACACAGTTTAATAATATTTCCGTGGCATACTTTGGGTCTCTCTTCCAACAGATTGTTTTAAGTACATGAAAACAGACAAACTCTGTGTGTTTACTCATTATATGTTGCCATTTTCAGTACTGAAATAAAGTGAAAAGCTCAAAATAAGTGAGAACAAGTAAATTCAATCTTTTTATCAGGTAGAAGCTCGATTTTCTTTTTTTTTTTTCTTTTCCTCCCATTAGCCAAATGCAGATTGCATGGATGATATACCTCCAGACTTGGAAGCATCCATAGGAGGACCACCAACCAACCAGATAACGGGAGCCAGTGACATAACAGTGAACGAGAGCTCTGTAGCCCTGGATCCCCCAGCACGGACTGTGGGAGTACTACAAGTCATCCAAGACGTAGACTCCTTTCCCCAGGCTGGGGAGGCTAACTTCACAACAAGCAGTAAGTTCCAATTTCTGGCAGAATTTGCACTGAAATAAATGTTTAGAAACCCCAATAACAAACTGATCTCTTGAGGGCATTTCGCTGGAGCAATGGCCGTGCTTTAAGCCCAGCGGGGAATCTACAGGGTAAGTAAATTTAAATGTCGTGTGTTCTCCTGTACTGAATTGATGGTCAGAGTTCCTGTACTTGAAAACCAGAGCACAGTGAGATAACACTGCCAATTTGTACAAAAAAAAAAAAAAGGGGGGGAGAATTTTGTATGCTTTCAATGTGTTCAGTTTTCACTTGTGTAAAGGGGCGCCATTTGAACAGGTAATTCTCAAAATGTCTTCATGTCTCTCTGTTCCTAAAAGTTATGTTCTCTCTTGAAAATCTACTTCTGACAGTTTAAAAGGAATGTTGTCAGCTGTTTCGAGTGAGGATTGTACTAGTCTTAAAATTCTCATTTTTAGGTAAAATAGCAGATCAGTAGAAAATACTTATCTGTTTGATACCAGTTGGTGTATTGACAAGACTAGTATCATCAGATATACTTTGAAGGAAGGTAGAAGAATGTAACAAAATATAGGTTTGTGTATGGAGTTAGTGTAGGTTCTGGGAAAAACTATACATTTTCAACCATTTCTAGATACTGCTATGGGCCTGGGCATGAAAAAGAAGACAAATAGTAATATGATGTGTAGAAGGTAGGAGACAGATGACAGAACTAAGATGAAATGATTTTACATTAGTCTCCTTACTCTGTGGAAAGACTTGATAATCACATTTTCCCTGATATTGCAGCCAGCGTCATGGCAGCGAAGATAACTTGTGGAAATACTGGACTTGTGACCTTAGACACAGGTGACCCAGAAGTAGATTTTTAAATTTGGTTTTGTGGATTAGGTTCTGGTTTTCTCTAAAGGTCTGGCCTTTTTATGGTCTAAGTACTGAATCCAGCAAGGGGTGAGCAGCAAGGTTAATAAGCCCAGCCACCTTCCATGGCCAGCCTGTCAGCTCGTGGCATTCAGCTTTCTCAAGTCTCCTTGAGTGCTGGCAAGAGCTGTTCAAAAAAAGATATTCCTTCCAGTGATTGTTTTTTTAAATGCATTTGAAGCTGTTTTAAGTAATGAAGGAAAGATGGTACCACAATGTAATAAAGACTGTGCTAGACACTGTTTTCAGCTGTGCCCTCTTAGCACTCCTGAAGCAAGTAGCTCCTCTCACAAATAATGATCCTTGCCCCACTGTTCTTTACAAGGTCTGCTGTTAAGGTTGGGAAGGAGGGCTGTGATGTGCCCTTTATACACACACAGCTGCATGACAGATGCTGGGAAAAGCCAGCAGCCTGGTCCAAAGCCCAGCACAATGGGCAGCCCATGCTTTTCATCCCACGATCTTGTCAGACTGCAAAGCAGCTCTGCTGGTTTCTCACCATGAGTAACAATGGTATTGAGGCTGCCAAGGAGCACCAGAGCTCAGTAACTCTCCAGACACTCTTTTCCCTCCAGGTTTGTTTCCAGAGTCTGCAGAAGGAACAAAGACATTTTTAATTCACTTTCCAAGTTGCCAGCTAAGTTAGATAACTGGGTGAAAAACTTGCTCTGAGCCAGCAGAGTACTGCAGGGCCTGCAGAGATGCTTTATTTTGCCTTGTTGCTCCAGTTTTCCCTCTTGCCATCCATTTGCCCCCTTACCTTTAATAACATCAGGCAATAGACCCTAAGACTGGACAATCCTGAGGGCTGACAGTGGAGCCTATGGACAAGGAACTCACACCAAAGCCAGTGGTCTGTCCTGGCAGAGAGGCAGCAAACCATGGAGTGTCAGATCTCCATCACCTGAAGAGACTGGCCATGTCTGGGGAAGGACTGTGAAAAGGGTTTTTCCCTGGTTATTTCCCCTGAGAGAGAGCAGGAGAAGAGGGCCTGAGTTCTGTGAATGTTGTGAGCCTCATGCCATCACAGGGGTGGCCTGCTAAAAGCAGGCCTTTCCAGTTGTTTTGTGAGGAAAGAAGAGTCCTGAGGAAAACTCAAAGCACCTTGGGACTTCCCAAACCCAGCTGTGTGCCTGCCTATGCTGTGGTTACCACACAGTCACTCGGGGAACTCTGATTTGATGCTTGGTTAGCTCTTGTCACTCACTCATCGTTGATATCTAGACATGAATCTTCATCTGGATTTCTCATCTCAGAGGGGAATACAATTCTCGAATATTCAGCAGTGGTAAATGTGCAACTTAACCTGCTGTCACCACCACATCTGAAGTGGTATGTTTTGCAGTAGTTCCCAGAAGCAGCCATTTGGTCCCTTTTTGCAGCAGAGCTGCAGCAAAGAAGAGGTCTTTAGTTGGGAGTTAGGGGCTGAGTTCCAGCAGTGATGGGAATTTGTCTCTCCGGTCAGCTTATGTGAATTTGGGGCATTCAGGCACTCTGAAAGGTAGAACTTGGCATCTTGGGCAGCCTGAACTCTTAAGCCAGTGAAAGGGACCTTATATATAGTTGTGGTATGAACCCAAATGCTAACTAAATCAGAGGGCAAATGTAGGCTAAATAACTGGGTCATAGCTGTCATAATAGATGGGACTTCATAGGCACTGTGTCTGTTTATTGTATTCAGGCATTGTATTTCTCATTTCCAGAATCCTCAGTTACACAACTGCAGCGCTTGCTGAGCGTGCCCTTTCTGTGAACTAGACTGCCTGGGAATTTGTGAGCGATGACGCTGGTTGCTCCTAGGAATCTTTGCTGAAGTTGCTAGGTTCTCTTTATATAGCATTAGTGATGGAGCCTACTCCGAGGCTGAATCTGCACTGGAAGGTTTTCTTCCTTTTGTTATTGAACCTGTGCAGACTCCAAGGCTCCGGTGCGGTCTTGACGTGGCATCCTGCACCCGGCACCACAAGTCCTTGCATCCTTCCTTATTCCTCACAAAGTCCAGTGGTCCAGGAGTTGCCTTCTTCTTTCCACCCACTTCTGCAATACTTTTCACTTAATTGTTGCATTCTTTTTGTCTGTTGATTAATCGTTCTGGTATTGTTGTCTTGCTTTGGGTTTAATTTCCCTTTCTGTGTTTCCAGTGATTATTCAGAGCCAGAAGAGCTCCCACAGTGTGTGTCTGGAGGGAGGATGTTTCCAGAATACTGTTCACTTTGGGTAAAATTCCATCTCCATGGTGGCAAAGCTCCTACCTACTTCAGTGGGGCAAGATTTTAATTTCTGGAGCTCAGCTAGTGCTTTTCTTCTTAATTCTGTGTGTATGGTCAGCACACATTTCCTCTTCTCTCCCTCCCTTTTGCTCCCTATGCTCCTGAATAGGTAATGTCTTCCATAAGACCCTAGGAGATGTACTGTACTGTGAGCATCTGGATGGGACCTCATTTGGGGGCCAGTCCCTAGGGTTCCTTGCTGAACCAAGCATCTCCTGTTTAGTAGCACTGAGCACTTGAAAATGGACCAGCAGTTTCTCCCAGCTGCCTTCTACCAAGCCTTCATCAAGTCCCTTGGGCATATCGACAGCCCAAAGTCTGTTTGGTATTTAGTCTTACTGACTGTTTGCTCTCTGTGGTGGGACTTTGTGTAGGATCCTGGGATAGCATCCTGCAATAAATTTCTGTAATCAGCTGTTGAAAATGTATTGCTGGACAAAGTGAAAAACTGGAGTTGGGAAAAAAAAAAAGGAAGGCGGGAGGGTGAAAAAATTGTGTGAAATACCTAAGAGTTCCTCTCAGCTGAGTTTACTGCTTTGACCCCATAACTTTTCAGCTCTCCAAAGGGTAGAAAGAAGATAACCTAAGGATCTTTTTCTACAATAATGCATCATAGCAGTCTCTGTTCCTAGTTTTTCATACTGAGTTATGCAAAATGCAACATCTTTGGAAATTTCAGTGCTGGTGGAATTTCCTGCCCTACATATGAGGTGGGTGTGAGCTGGACTTGACTAAGATCTGAACTTGAAGAAGCTCTGAGCTAGCTTTGGAGGGTGGATTTGGGATTTGAGGAGGACATTGCAATATTCTTTGGGTCAGGCTCAGCTGGGATTGAATGATATGGTTAAAAAGGTAGTTTTCTGGGAAAGTAGCATCTAGATTTTCTAAAGGTTGTATGGTGACCCTTGCAGGTGAAAAGTAGTTAATTTTTTTCATCTTTTATAGCATCCATGGTTATTTATCTCCATCAAGCATTTGCTAATTTCTGCAGAAAATAATATGCATTGCCCGAGTCTTTGCCCTCTCTTCATAAGTCCTTCTAGTTTTTCAATTTAGACAAGCTTTTATATTCTGTTTGGTGGGATGTCTCATCCCACCGCATAAGGCCTCAGAAATCCCACTAGCACAATCTCTGTAGTTGGAGGAAGATCCATAAATAATTTTACTGCAAACATGAACGGGACTTTTAGTACAGAACACCACAAGCTCTCCCCCGAGGTGTCATATCACCTGCACAGTCAACAGAGCTTGGTGGACTGTATGGCAAGTGTGGGCAGTCTAGAGAATACCAGCAGTTCCTTTTCTGCCTCTCATTTTGTTCTTTCCATAAAACCCTGCCAACATACAGCTCATCGTGACTGTTAGGACCCTTTCAAATCTCCTTGATAGCTCTTCATTAAATCTATTAATATAACTTTTGAAGTAATTATTTTGATCTGTGTATGTCTAAAATGTCTTTTTGAAGAATAATCAGCCTTTGGAAGTGGATGAAAGTGCATGATAAGAATCTGATCCACTGTTGTCTTGTAACCACTTGACTGTTCCTCCTTGCTATTAATAGTGGATTTCTTGGGCGGAATGTAAAGGGGGAGAAAAAGGTGGAAAAACTCCCTAGACAGTAGTTAATGCAGAAAGTTACTAACACTTGCATTAGCAAGTTCTTACACTGTCCCAGAGGGAGAACACTGATGGGACCTAGTTAAAGACTGAGCAGATTAGGTCTCATTTGCCTGGCATGTGACAGAACTCCTGGTGGCTCTATTAAAAGCTTGTGAGGATGTTGCACTAAACTGTTGTCATGGGCTGAAACTGCCAATGAGCTGAGCTTCTAGATTTGTTTTGAGACTAAGACTGGTGCCAACATAGCATTGGTGGTTTGAAAGAGTCACCAAGTGAAACATAACTGGCACTAAAAATGTACTTTGGATTATTACATACACCTACAAGACTCCTGCCAGACTCTGAATGGACAGTGAAGCTTTCCTGTTATAAAACTGCTCCTCCTTTCCATATGTTGTGAAATACAGACTGCTTCTGTACAGCAAATTGCAAAAGGGATGTACAAAATGCTTTGAAACAAGGAGCAAATTTAAATGTTTTGTTTGTTTTCTGTTTCACATCTCCTGTATATATTGACAGTGTGTACAGAGCAGGGATTAAACCATTAGTTCAGCAGCTGTGATATGGCACACACAACAGACTGACCTAACCTAGGGTGCCAAAAATGCTGCAGATCTCAAGAAACTTGCTTAATAATTGAGTCTAGGAAGAGATTCAAAAGAAAGTGTTCACCTTCAGTAGTGGAAGCTCCATTTGTAAGTCTGTCTCTATATGTAAATTTGTCCCTAGCTTGCCACTCTCTGTCCCAGGTTACAAGTTCCTGCCTCTATATTGCTTTTGTGTTGTGCAGCTACCTTGGGAGCCCAATCCAGAAGCCAACCAATTTCTTCCTGGTGGGTTTTTTTTAGTTTGGATCAGTTCCCTGATCCAGAAGTTGTCATACCAGTACAACAGGAGGAAAGAAATGTGGAGCACAAGAGAAGAGAGGACTGGGACCAGTGATAAGATAGCTTGTGTCTTTTTATATTTCACTGTCTTAAGTAGACAGCTGGATAAAACATTGAACAAGAAAGCTTTTAAAGCAAAATAGACAATGTAGAGTAAAATACAAATCTGAACTGCAGAGAGACCAGATGACAATAGTAGCTGATCTCTTTGATTTTTCCTTGACAAGGAAAGCCTTGCCTCGCAAGAGATATTTAGTATCTTGCATACAATTGGCTTAATTATTTAGGACTCAATCTCACAAATCTTGATGTCTGTGCAGTTTCTGTTCTCATCAGTTTTTACACAAAACCCTCCACTGAAGTCACCAGGAAGTGCTGTTTCAAATACAGTGTGCCACTGTGATTCTGAATCTTTTTATTACCAATTCAGGAACAAAACCAAATGCAAGACACAAGGGCCCAGCTTGGATCAGCACCTGAAAATAAGAATTACGAAGTAAGACAGAGCAATGGTTCTGTAGCCAGGCAGGCAGAGGAAAGGGAGGATTCCAGGGTTAGTGCTGCTCGTTGCTGACAGTTTTTCAGACAGATAGGCAAGGCAAAAGTGATGCTCACCTGTACTGCACAGAGCCCAGAGACCCCTACCAGGGTCAGGCTCAGCTGAACCAGTCAGTACATACAGAGATGGACTTTCAAAAACCTCACAGGTAAGAGCAGATTACAGCAAGCAAACAGATCTCATAAATTCAGTGGGAAAAGACAGACAGTGAAAAAGCAGCTGTGCCTATGGGTGAATAAAAACAGGAGGTTCAAGTACAGGAGGTACTCAGAAAGTAATGTCATTTCTGCAGCAGTCACTCCTGATTCTGCTTGCATGTGTTGTGCTCTGAGTGCCTTGCTTCATGATGGAGCTTGCATTTGCTTCAGTGCTCTGCAGTGTTGTGAACCACTTTGAAGGTAACTCAAATGAAAGAAGTCAGACGAGAGCTCTGCTGATTCAATGTTTCCAGTCATTGGTATGTAATGTTTTTCTCCTTATTCATCTAGGCTTTGAGCCTGTGAACGTGCAAGAGGATCATCTGCACAGGGGAGCTGTCTGGCTTCTCCCAAGCATTTAAAGGATCACGTGCATACTTAACACCTGTACTTGTGTTGTAACCAGCAGTTCTGATTTCTCAAAAAGCACAGAAGAGTTGCATTTAGAAGAGTTTAAGTGAAAGGGGGAGAGGGAGGGGAATGTTTTTCTCCAGATTCTTGTAGGGGCAACAGCTCAAGCTTTCACATATGGTGTCCAATACTCTATGATTTCAGCCTTGAAAAAATAAGTGGTATTTGTTCATAAGACACTAGGCAAGTCCTGCTCTTTGTTTCATTACTTACCTCCAACTCCTGCAGAATTTAGGGCACTTCAGGGATTCTTTAGGGTTGCCACAGTAACCAGGTCACTTCACCTAGAAGTGAGTTCTCACTTAATCTTTAGTAACTGGACTTCTTGTTGATCTGGATGTGGGCAATTTTAAGTGAAGATAGGGCCTGAAACTGTTGAAACTGGTAGGCCAGATGGAGAAAGTGGCTTATGAGTTTTTATAGGAAACATGAATGATCAGAAAAGAAGTAGGTAGCAGGTCAAGCCCAGTATCTGAGAGGAAATATCCAACTACTGGCATGAGTGTTAGAGGATTTTCTCCTGCCTCAGAGCCAGGAGGGGTGCGTAAGCCCTCACATTTAGAGATGCTGAAAATAGGACCCGTGTGGATATATTCTTGCCCAGCTAGATGCCATCTTTGCCACTCCAGTGACAAGGCTGATATACTGAGGAATATACTCGGGCTGTACTCAGCACAGTACGCAGTAGCATCAGAGTTGCATTAATGAATATCCACCAAAATTAGCCTTATATTGTGACTATCTTCTTCAAGAGCAAATACATT